AAAAGTAAAGATACATTAATGTGCTTTTCGATCAATTTTTATTGTCAATACTCAATGCCAAGCACCACATGCCGCCGTAGTAGCAGTAGCAAACAAAAACAAATGATGCTGGTAGGATCGAATAGTACAATACATTGTAAATTCACGATACTCCTATAGAGTAATGCATCTATTAGAGGTCGCTAATTATCGGACGCATTTATTGATCACGACGAATATTTTTTTTAGCATTCATATTACTGTATAAGCAAATATCAAGCACTGTTGAAATGTCTGTGGTTAACTGTCGTAAAATTATACCGCTCTTAAATTGTAATAGTCCTGATTATAAGATAATCTTGTCATAAGTAAGCATTTTACAGAAAGGTTTTCGAATTGAAATTTGAAAAAGAGTCAAATGATTAAGGTTCTAGCTGTTCTAAATTTGAGCAAAATATTTTTTTTTAATGGTTGCATAGATATCGTCGAGTTGCCTATAAAAATGATGTTTCTAGGCGATGCTTTTCTAGTGAAACTTAAAAAAGATGGATCTAAAATTGTCAGAAAAGTTGATATCAATTTGAAGTATGTCAAATACATAAAATCTCAGTAATCTCAATACGTATCCGATTTTTGATATAATAGTAAAAAAGCGCTAAAAAATGAATTTGTATTCAAAAGTTTTCAGGATCAGACTTTTAGTTTCAAAAAATAGTACAAACATCTATGTCGAATAATAAGACTAATTTTAACAAAATTGTGACCTTAGAAGAACCATAGGTGTGATTATTCGAAAATAAAAAGTGAGGAGATGTGAGCATCGAAGTTTGATGAAAGTTAGTTTTGAATGCTACGGATGCTATTCGATGCAGATCTTTGTACTAATTCTCACTTTTTTACTATTATATCGAAGAAATCGGTTTTCTCGAAAATTCAGATAATGTTTGCGTCTAATGAGACTTGAAGCATTTAATGTATTTCAATTTTCATAGATTCTTTCAACATATTTAAACCTAACTTTCCCTATGTTTTACTATAACAGCGTCACCTAAATATGTTGAAAATGATATATTCATAGATAACTCAACGAGTTCTATTCAACCACGAAAAAAAAAGTATTTTGATCAGATTTCGAATTGTCGGCACCTTATTTTGTTCTAAATAGCAAAGTGACATAACCAAGAACTGATGAATAAGAACAAAAGCAAAGCTATAACTATTTACATTTTGTTATAAAACATATGTTCCTGTTCAGAAAACGATATGGAAAAATAATGTACAACTAATGATAAAAATTTCCAAATATTCATCTGATTACGTTTAAGAAATATTTCTTTTAATTAATTTTTCGTATTATATAGATATTAGAAATATAAATAAAGAATAAAATGAAATTAATTAACATTGTTCTTGTGGATGCATTTTAATGCATTCATCGCAAGTTCGTCAAATCGATTCAATTACAGTTCATAATTTAATATGTGGCAAAAGAATTAATGAAGAAAGTATGTAGCTATAAGAAACAATATTAGAAACCTAAAGCAAGAAAAAATATTCCGTAACTTCATCTGAAGATTGAAGTGAGTATCTTGAATTACTTTGCTTTTGCTTGAGGTATTTAGTATTCGAAGCATTGCTTTACACTTTGCCTTACAACGAATGGTAACTATGCATTCATCAAATTATTTTTAGTTTTATGATAGGGCATCGTGCTTCATAGAATTACAAACAGTGACTGCCAAAATGATTCGACTAGATTGATTTTTAATAAATTTTCACTACCGTAAATGCTAATAAGAATCAAAATAGCGATTCGTGTAGAGAACTTAATTTTCAACAACAAATTTTAAAGATAAAAATAAATGCTTACGTCCGTAGGATATGATCTATGAAAAATTAAAATCAAAGCTTTTCATCCTCGAGAGCTCACAAACATAATTCTCTTTGTGAACTATATTTGACTGTGTTTGATGAATCATCTTTTCCACAAGCGTCATGATATAGGATTGAAAGCTTCGTCGGAGCTTCTTTATTGCAATCCCAACTTATATAGGCATTTTAATGCAGTTTGAATGCGCCTGAATCAATATCGATTGTTGAATGAGAAGAAGTCAGATAAACTCCTAAAATACTTACTGATGGTCATTATCCAAATTAGAATTATGCCAGCCCCCGTCGGACTGTATGCAAAACACTACTGATATCCAATAAGTCCACTGGTGGGCTGGATACCACTCGAACAGGTACGTTTTCGAATGGACCGCCAAGGCCACCAGGGAGTTTCTTGGATATTCAGTAACGTTTATTACCCAGTTCAACTGGTATTCAGCTTGCAGGAACTAGTGCATCCATGATTCGAATGTTTTTTTTCACTTTCTTTCATCTTTTGTACCCTCTGTCATATTATAAAATCAAGTAGATGGTCTTTCGGGAGATAGAATTGAGCACATGAGCGGCTAGCCGTGAGTGACACCCTGAAAAGGTGCCGACGAACTATTAGTCGATAATTTGAGGAGTTGATCGAAAGAAGGTTTCAGGGCACTGAAGTAAATAGAAAAAATTCGCTATCGAATCAGTCCGATCGAGCGAAACAGTGTACGAGAGCGGTGAAAAACTTAAAAATTATTTTTTCTCATGAAGCCTGAGAAATAGTTTTTTGTGTAGACGTACAACATCTCCGAGTTGCATTTGATGTAAAGTGAACATTAGCATATTTGTGTTAAAGTAATATTCGTGTGCATAAAAGAACTCATTTTTAGTGGTTAAACACAAAGAATGATCAATGACAAAGTTGAATTTAGGGTAACTTCAATACACAGACATTATCAACTGGCTTTTACGCTCATTATGCAGAGAAAAACTATATGAAATAAGAGTTAATAACCGTTTGAAGTTTCTTTCCTTTCTTAAAAATATAAGTATTGAATTTTTTCTGATTGTTTAAGATCTATGTCAGAACTACAATAGCGTAGCAAGTAAATCTTTATCTGCAATGAAAATTGCACAATATACAAGAGTACAGCAGTGCTGTAAACTACATAAACACTGGCGTTTTAAGAAGGAAACGGTAGCTTCAATAGTGTTCATTTGCAAGTAAGATATTTTGTGAGATTGCAATGAAACAAGGTATCTGAGTTGCTGACTCGCAATCTGTTACTTAGTCTGGTGGATTATTATCTTGTCTAATCAGTCTTGGACACTGTCGGCACTTTCTTGAATCTGTGAAATGCTGGTCTCTACAGATCTGTAGATTTTCACAGGTGGGCTTCTGTTGTTCCTGTATTGAAGAATGATTAGTAGATAATGCAGGATAGTTTGCAGCCGCTCATGGCGTTTCAATGAAGAAACAACTTCAGCAGAATATAGATCTTGTAGAAAAATCAATCCAATTTCACTTTAGACGATGAAATCATACTCAGAATAGAATTATAGGATCTTGAAATACAGATGATTGTAGATAACAGCGAAAATTTCGTAAGAAGAACAAAATCGTCGGATTACATCTTGAAGAGATTGAGAAGTGAATTTATTTTTATCATAATGATCGACTGCGAGCTGTTTACTCAATTACATTTTAGAAAATCTCAACAGAAAATAGAAATATCTGGTTCTTTCATAAAATGGTCGTCTTCTCAAACCAGAATTCAAAAGCAATAACAAATGATTACTGGATCAACCGAGTCCTGACGACCAGTGTTACTTATAATATGATGATCATCGCAGTGCAGTTCTCTCTTGGTACGATGTTCTAGTCGTATAAGTTCTGGAAACAATTGTGAAGTCTCAGAGTTTAAATAATTTTAAACCAAACACTATATCATCACTAATTAACGCATTCATGAGTGATGTTAAACGTTTTCTGGGGTGACGGACATTTCTCACTAAGTCATTCCGGACTCCGATCATATATCTGGGTGTTCGGAAATGATTTTTGTCCTTAAAAATCTTTGACGAGAGTTCGTAACACTTTTCTGCGCGGAACATCATCTTGAAAAAAAAACAGGGAGAGCGGAAGATTGTGACTAGGAATTCGGAATGGCATGCTCATTACCATATGTGATATAGTGTCCGGAGATTAGGATGAACAAGACCGGGTGCTCGAAATAAAACTCTACGGGTATTTTTTCATAGGAAAAGGTCTGAAGAACGTAGTGAAACTGATCGAGAGTTTATAATGCGATTTGTCAGAAAGTCGTAACGGATTCGTTCTGATATCAGTAACAGTTGTAAAGACTTTTATTTCTTTCTTATAATGAAGAATAGGATTCATTCATCTAGAATAATAAAGCAACACATTTTTTCTTTCCAAAATCATGGTGTTCGTAATAAAAAATATTTGCATGTAAGAAATAATAATGATAAATACAAGCACTTGAGTTATAGTACTAACAACAATATAAATATTGACTAGTTGAATTCATTAGGACATTCTATGTGTACCATCTTATAATACAAACTAGTGAGTCACTTAACATCTCTCAGAGAAGAGTAAACATGAACAGTTTCGAACAATCCGTCTTTTTTCATTAAGATTTCTCTGAAGTTTTTATTATGATCTCCAAACATTCATTATCTTATTTGCCTTAACTTTCATTACGATCTTTCGGTCATTTTCAATCCGAACTTCAGTCAAATTTCAAGTTGTTATCTGTCAAACTCGATCATCGCTGCCCGTTACGATCTTCTGGACAACTTTCATTTCGAACACCTTCTTTTTTTTTTCTTCTTTCAGATAATCGTAACGAACATATGTCATTGGAGATCATAATGAAAATTTAGTGCGAAATGTCCCTTTCCCGCTTTCTGTATGTATTGTAAGTTTTGAAATCGTGAAACTGTAATTGTTTGTAGATATAACACTCTTGCATAGTTTTGATATATAGATTTAATCTAATTATAGTTTATGATAAATTATATGATCATATTTTTTTCTTTATATATTAAAAAGTAGAACTTCATACAAAAAAAAGATTATCAAGTGAAATCAATATTTAAATTATGTTTTATTCGTTTTCAACCATTTAAGTAGTTGTGACCAGTTTTGTTATACTGGAACGTTTACCTTCAACAGGTATTTCAGTATCTTGATGAATTTCTGATGCACGAAGGCTTATTTCAGGTACTGAACTTCGTCGTCGATAATCTACTCCCATTTTTTGACGCTCAGTTTCGGATGATACATTAGATTCTGATGAAAGTTTTCTAAATGTAGCAAATTGTGGTACACGTAATGAATATGTTCGATTTAATGGGGACGACCAAGATATCATTCGTCGTCGTTCTTGTTCACGAATAAATAATTGATACCATTTAGGTGGTAAGAGTTCAAGAATTTCTTGATAAAATGACATATGCTCTTTAGCAGTTGATGTTTGTATATTACAAGGTTGTAAATGAAATAGATCAGCACATACAGTTGGAATATCTTGATATATATCAATCAGATCATTGATAAGTAAACGTATTTTTTCTCGACTATTAGAATTTAATAAATCATAATCATTTTTATTCAATACATCAAGATCATATTCTTTAGCAAATGTTTTTAATCGAAATAATTTTCGACGTGATTCTGTATCAATATTTAATACATTATTATTTCTAGTATTATTTAATTCTAGATCATTATTTATTGATGATGATTGTTGAATTTCTTGATTTTGTTGATTATCATGAGAAGTTATTGATTTAACTTTTTTCCAACGATTAATAATTGATTTTGCTAAATGACTTTGTTGAACTGTTAATGTTGACAAATTATCTTTTTCTAAATCATCTTCATTAATTGTTTTATTATAATCGCGTGCAACTTTAACATCATGATGAAAAAATTTTGCTATATCTTTATTTGGTTGATGTAATGGAACAACTTCTTTTATACGTAATATAAATAATGCCATTATTATAATACAAATTATGTTAACTATTGTTAACAATAAACTACAACCTGCAAGAGCCGCTGCTTCTCGTGCTAGATTACATGTATAAAGTGGTTGATAATCATTATTAATATATTTTTTACAAGTAAGATTTGCATTATATTCTTTTTTAGTATCGTTTAATGAAGAAGGATGAACGCGGGCAATACTTGACAATGAACTACCAAGTAATGAGTAAGCAAAAAGAAGTCCACAATTTACAGCTGGTGGAAGAAGAGAAGCTAAAAGTGATTAATGGATAATAAAAAAGAATCGTATACAATAAAAACTCATTTGAGGTGAGTTGGACAAAGTTCATTATTAGATCGTTCTATACCAGTGCCCGACTTCGGTATAGTGTTACGAAAAAATTTTTGAATTGTGGGGAAGATCAGCAGTATGAGCATTTTGCAGATACCAAAAGTGGTTTATTTTTCATGTAAAACTTTGATATGAGAGCTTGAAGGAACTTAATAGAACAAAACCTTATGTGTCAGACGATCTTTTCTTCTACTTCACGGACTTTTCTTTATAAACGTCGGACAATGATGCATAGCGCGTGTACTATCGATTCAATAACAATATCAAGGACACAGATTGTATATATAAGAAAAGAAAGACAGCAAGGAAAAATTCCATGACATAATCATGTTATTCTAACTGTGAAATATCGATGAAATATCAAGGATGACATGTCCTTTGTTTCGAACTAAGAAATCAAAGGAAGAATAAAATGTTTGAGAAATTGCTTTTACTCAAAAGAAAGAAAAAGTACTGTGTATCAGAGTCCGACTCGGATCAGATCACAAAAACTTGACTCATGTTAGACACTGATTTATATATATCAGCAATCGGTCGACGTTAATTTGATACCTAAATGGTTATTTATTCCCTGAGCGCTATTCTACCACGGTACACCAATTAGAGATCGACAGTTTCAATGAATGTCCAGTACTGGAACTGATCCAAACCGTAGATTTCAGTTCTAGTTAGTCAAAACAAAAAAAAATTGGTGCCAATATCGTTTCCTAAAACGTGTCTTTTGAACTGGTGACCTAATAAAGTTATAGTCAAAACCTCCTCACGAAACCTGACAGATTTTATGAAAAAACGCCAACTTTTAATAAAACTTAGTTCAAAGAAAAACATTTTAGTTTATTTCGTTCTGTGATAAAATACCATTTGCGACGCATCATCGTAAAAATTACTCTACGAAAAACCGACTCTTGACAAAATCTCGCTTTGAAGGAAGGCATTATTCAAAGCTATGATGATTATGAAAGTGCACGTCACTGTATCTAATCATACCTTTTCTAAAAAAAGGGTTTTTACACGACGTTCGATTTTGTTCAGGATCCTTAGTCATATTTTTAGCTGTTTTTGACTTCTCTTTCCATTCAATTATGAAAAATATGCAAAGATTAAAGCTAATTCAACCGTAGATTGAACACTTCGACTTTAGACTATACAAAACTCGAAACAGCTTTCCTGTTTTTAGTAAAAAGTTTTCGCTTCCAAAGGTTCTAGTTAAGAGAAATTGAAGCATTACAGTTCCATTTTTTTCAAAATCGTCGAGCTCTAATAGCGACAGTTGTTCTCTGACCGGTAATCTACTGCTGATATATTGGTGCTGGTGCAAACAAACGTGCACCATCGGAAAAAATAAACAAACCTGAAATAGCAACGCCAACCAATGAACCTAATTACAGAGAAAAAATATATTATTTTTTTAATAAAAGGATAAGATGATTTTTACCAGTATTTCCACCAAGTACTGAAAGTGCGACACCAGCTCCACTCGGCAAAGCAATGAGGACACCTACCCATAATCGTTTAACATCACCACGTGATTTCATTTCCAGTGTTGGAAAACTTGCTGAAGATCCCCATTTTGTTTCAGCAAATGTTGTTAACAATCTAAAAAAAAAATAAAACTTGAAAATTATTGAAATTCTTCTTCTTGTTTTTCTCATTTTTTTTTTACCCAAGAATAAATCCACAAGAAATACAAATAATCAAACCAATTAATTCATTTCGTAAACCTCGTCTCCATAATGAATGTTCGCGCACAGAAAGACCAAATACAATACCTAATATTGGATTCATTAATGGACTAACAAGCATACTAGCAACAATAATGACAGTCGAATTTTCTAATAGACCCAATGCAGCTAACATTGAAGCAAGACATATTAAAAGAACAAAATCAAATGAAAGTACTGTTGATGCTCGAATACTAGCAACTACTTGATGAACCATTAATCGAGCTTGAACACTTTTTTTAAAATTTGATACACTAATACGTTTACGAATTTTTCGTGATGATGTTAAATCATTAGATTCTACACCATGTATTTTATTTTTAACGTTATGCGATAATGATTCATTTGTTGTCATAGTTCCTGTTAAAGATAACGTTGATTCAGATTCATTTTTATCATGACATTGTCCTCCAAGAATAAAAGTTGTTGGTAAGACAAATATTTTTGTATGACTTCTTGTACCAATACCAAATTTCATTAAATCTTGTAAAATACGATCACTAACAATTCCAAATTCGACATAAAATGTAACTTGATAAGTTTTTTTATTTTCAGATAACATCCATGTTGCTTCAATGTTGTTGTTTTCAGAAAAATAATTTGTTAGAACAACACACAAAGATTTTATTAATTTCTCTTGTGAACGTTCTTGGTCTTTTTCGATTTTTGAATTAATATCCAAAGATGTAAGATACGAAACAGAATCAGAACCTACTGATCCAGATCTGGTGTCAATAGATGGCTTTTCAAATAGAGAACATGATAAGAGTAATTAGTGAAGGAAAACGAAGCAAATTAGAAGACTTACTCTTGAAGATGCTGATTGAACAATACTAGATATTGTTGGAATAGTAGAGATTTCCTTATCAAAGTCATTGGGAAGAAGAACAATAAAAAGAGCATAGTCACTTGACATGGTTACATAAAGTAAAAAAACGAAAATGGCAAGTTAAAAAAAGAAACTTATTTTTAATCTATTTTTTATTCTTTTTATTCAAATTCAAACATCTATAAATAAATCTAATTAATGTTTTCGAATGTCAATATTAGTTATGATAAGAACAAGTATAAAAAACATGCATTAGTTACAACCATAAGGAATCAATATTGGGCAACAAAGATAATAAATCCATTACCAGTAATCTATACAAAATAAAACAATAAATTTGCGATATGAAAGTTTCATTTTCAAGGTCATAAAAGACTCTCGATCTAGAGTATTTCAGTTATCATTCGAGGGCAGTTCATTTAGTATAAAACTTTATCGATATCGAGCAACTTCCTTTTTGTTGAGTTTGTGACCTTAGAATACAACATGTCTAAATCGTTCAATATAATTAGACATATGAGAATCTTTCAGATAGTTTCCTAGCTTTCTGAGACCATATACAAATATTTGTTTACAGACAATAACAAAGAATAAGTTAATATTGATATTTTCATACAATATGTCTTGTGAAGAGTAGTACATATATGATCATTATATCTTTGCTGAATCTTTTAGATGATTTTACTTTACTAGTTACAAAAAGGAAAGTTGAGAGAAAAAAAAGTAGACAAATATGTCTATGGCTTTTTTTTCAGGTATTTTTCTCTTGTCTTAGTTCTTGATCGATCGTTTGCAATAAAATTGTTGAATTTCGTTTGATAGATTTAACAATCATACATATATATTTTAAGTGTCATTATCTGTTCTACAATGAAATGAGAAATGAAAAATGACATAAACACTTTATCAATAAGATTAGTAAATAATTGTCGTTCCATTTGTTCAGTTGTACGAATCATTTTTGTAAGATCATAGTCATCAACTTTAACATCGCATAAAAATAATTCACAATTGCGTACATTACAAAAAAAAATCAAATCATTTTTTCCTATGTTCACGTTCTTCGCGTCAGCTGAATGAAAAAATAATTTGCAAATCCATGATAAATATCATATATAAGCTAAACAATATGCATATGTGAAATAAGTATTAAGGGTCAAAAATTCATAATTTATTCGGATTTCATATGTCCTTTTTATTTTAGTACTTTATATATATATATATATCAAGTTGAAATCACAGAGTGCAAAATTTTGTATATATAAGTACGTACTTATACATTATTTAAAAACAAAATCTTCTATAAAAATATATATTTCGTTAGAATACTTATGCTTTTCAATGTTTTCATTTCGAATGATTCATATAACAAAATTTGGACAGAAGACATTGAAAATATTAATAATAAATCGATACATTTTTCTATCGCTTACCATGCCTAGCAATACTTTTTAAGCAGTGGCATAATGGTCACCACGCTATCAAACAGATACAAATATTATAAACCATTGGAAGACATTTTGTATCTTTTCCATAGTGCTCCTTTGATAAATAACCACATGAACAATGACTTCGTGGAAAATTTTCATCAATAAATTTGTCGTTATACTTTCTCTTGTAAAAATCCGGTAGGCGTGTAAAGATCGACTAGGGAATATATGCTTTTATTTATCTTCAATGCCAGGAGTAGAATAATCAGTTATCTGTGATTGAAATATTGAGCCATATTTTATGCGTTACATAACATTTTTCAAATATAACATCATCATGATATATCATAAAATTAGTTAAAGGATGAATCTCACTATATTTCACATTATGTTCTTGAATGACGGCTCTCTTTCTTGTAAATTGCGAATAAACACAAAACAATAATCGATAGAATTTTGCATTAATTCAATTGAGAAGAAAAAAAAAATAACAAAGTAAACTTTTAAATGATATATTTAATGGCAGATAGGTATCTTTACCTATTTTATTGTAGCATATAGAATAAAGCGTACAATTTACTCTAAAACAGATTGATACTTATATTAATGATATTCAGTAAGGTGGCAGCTATCAAGGCTACATGACTAGACGTGTGATGTGGGTTAGAGCTATGCACGACCAAGTTATTTTTTATTTGCATATTGGTTTAGAGAAAGAAAGTTCGTGAACGTTTTAAATTTAGGAGCAAATGGCACTCTGCAACTTAACAGAACCGAAGTTTTCATCTTCGACTTTGTGAAAAACAATCACTGTTTTTCTGTAGAGGCAATACTTTTTCTTGACATTTTTTTAGATAATTTTTAATTAGAATGAAAGACACAATATTTTGAAACATTGACTTCTGTTAAGTTGTAGTGGCAGATCTTAATTATATTTTAAAATCAATCCATACTCTGTATCTTTAGATAAGGAGGAAAAATCCTCATCAGACGGAAAGCTACTTTTTGATCTTTGACTTTATGATGGCTTAAGCATCAATTTTTCGCGATCCTACTCGGCATCTAGTATCGATCATTATTCTCTTCTTTCTTGAGAAAATCAATTAGTCAGTCTTTTTTTTCTTTCTCCTCATTTCGTAGTTGGAAATGAAAGGTATGTTTTTGACTTATTGTCGTTCCTAATGTTTCGCCGATACACCTCAGTGAGGACAACATGATTATGTAATAGAATTTCATCTTTGAACTAGTAAGATTCGGACATACATTCTCTGAAGTTTTCAGTCATATCATTTATTTTGGACCAAAAGTACATTTCTGACGGAGATAAAAGAGAAGCTTAACTACAATCTTAAGTTTCGGTTCCGATGATCGTGACTACAATTGATCCCCTAAATCTCTATAGTAGGCTTCTTTTTCTGAATGTACAATGTTGACCTTGGTTTGAACTCGAAGGTCAATGTGACAATACATTTTTGTTTTATACCACAGAAACATAAAAATAATTTTAATTCATTATTTATCTCAATAAAGAAAGTACATTTCTTTTTAAATGGTTCATTGTATTGCTGCTGTTTTAATAAATACCTAAATTCTTTTTTCCTCATTCATTACGTTTTGTGTTATTCAACATCCAAATATCTCAAAATGACGCTCGCATGCGTCTTAATAGGTATGATGACGACACTTTCTTTCGAGACCGATGCTGTCTAAACACATGATCTCGGAAAAAATAGTATCATCGTTTTAAATACACGCACACACATACTGTATAAAGATAGGGCAAAAAATATGCGGAGGAAAAGAAAAAAAGACAGCGACAGAATGAGAGAAACATTGAAAAGAACAAAAAAATTGAAGTTAGAAATCGATAGAAGTACCGATAACCGGCGCTGCCGACAAAAAAAAGAAAAGAAAAGAGTAAATCAGCGCACGGTTCTCGTTAACATATGCATATGAAATGAAACGAACATAACATTGAACAATGAAACAAAGAGCAAAAAAAAACACATAGTTTATTTGTCAAAAGAAAACCAGGCATCGTGTGTGTAATGTATCATTTGATGAATGAGATTGCGCGTCACAAGGAGGGATGTTGCTTATTGAATTTTAAGTTTCATTTCAGGACGTACTGTCCCACCAACTTTGATCCTGTTGACGACTATTAGCATTACCGCCACCAGATTGTTGATGGAAACGATCATAACCACTGCCAGTTTGTTGATCACCAGACCACATATTTCCAACGGCACCACTACTGGATCCATCCCATTGTTGTTGATGATTATTATATCCACTCGTTGAACTACCTGCTCGACTACCACCACCACCACCTCCACCACCTCGATTATTACGTAATTGTGCTGGATTACGATAATCACGTGCGCCAAAACCACCCGGTCTAAAAGAAAACCAATGAAACATTGAGTTTTTATAGAATCGAATGAATTTAATATGTACCGTCGACCACCACCATAATTCCGTTTGGAATAATTATCTTTTTTGGCTTCTTTCGCTAAACCTTCCAGCCATTCAGGTACTTCTTGATGTGATTCACTTAGAATATCGAGTAGATCAACGGCAATATTACGATTCTTTTCATTGAAAAATGATGTTGCTTGACCTACAAAATTTACATATAAATAAATGAAAAATAATTTTTATTTAAAGTCTTTATTTTTTTTCTTATTTCTTTTTACCTGTCATGCCAGCACGGCCTGTTCGACCAATACGATGAACATACTCATCGATGTCTGATGGTAAATCAAAATTGATAACATGTTTGACATTCCTAAACAAAACAAGAAAAAATATAAATCTATATTGATAACATGGTATTAAATAAAACAAGCCCATATCATTCGAATTAGACTTTATTTCAGTTATTTTATAACAGATTGAAATCATCTAACGGATGAAGTAAATAAAATTGTTCATACTAACTGTTGCCTCTATATCTCATAATAGAATCATTGTAGAAAACTAGTGTTCTTATTTTTGAAACATAGCCTATGATCTCTTCTATAAACTTGAGAGTGTATGACTGTTATGAATGAGAATACATAAGTTTCAGGAAAAAAAACCATCACCGAGACATTCTCATTAACAAGAAGCCTAAAGAGAAGTATATATTCTAGTCAAGAAACATGAATCAGTTAAACTGTCACAATTGTTTGAAAAAAAAAAAGGAATTATAGTTTGGAAATTAACTATTTCGGTATCTAAAAATAGTTTATTAATTTTAAGCCAATGAAGTTAAATGTTATTTTAGGAAGATATGATCAATGCAGTTTTAAATGAGCTATC